GCCAAAAATGACCAAAATAGCACAAAATGACCATTTTCTGGAGGCTCTACAAGCATAACTGCTCAGTATTTTTGACTGATTCTTTGATAGGCTCATTCAGGTTGACCAGAGGTATGTTCTGGCTACCCCCCCAGTTAGCGCATATTTTTTTTTTCAGATGCCAAAAATGGTCTCCAGAATAAAAACCTTCTCAAGGCTCCAGCTTTCACTGAAATTAGTCTATACCAAGGGAAGTGTAACACAACTACATAATGTAAAAGAATACACAAATACATTTGAGGTACAATAGATTCTTAGAAAGAACCAGAAAAATGAACCAACCTTCATTCTTTTTGCACTCAACTGTACCATTAGAATACATATAAACACAGTATTTATAGTGTCCTTACTATATTTAAGTAAAAAAGAATTTTTGCACCTGAGAGAATTGAACCCTCAATGTCATCAATAATACCAACGCTAAAGCCAACTGAGCCATGCAGGCTTTATTATATGTTAAATAAAAGGTAGCTATATACAGTCATCCACCCCTTAATGATACACCACCCCCATTTGATACACTTTTGACTAGCCAAAATCTTTCTCAATACTAGACCAATTTTTACAAAACAAGTTGTAACACGTAGTACAAACTCATATCTACCACCGTACATAATTTGGATGCAATTGAGGCAGAATTAGCAAAGCTGTGGAGCATACAAAATGGACTGTTTTTTAGAAATAGCCAAATACAGTCACACCCCTCAATGATACACCCATAATCTTAATTTTTCTTTGTGAAATGTGGGTCAAACATTCTGAAATTTGGTACAGTGATAGAAGGGAATTTATCTGAGATTTTCATGTAGTTTTTGTAGAGAAAGGTTGTGCTCAAATCTGTTGAAGCTAATTTCTCATTTTGGGTGTATCATTAGCAGGTGGATGACTGTACTGCACCAAGGCACGTGGCGTCATATGTGTGACATGCTGTGGCTGAAACGTCGCCACATCGTTCCTTCCTTCCCCACCACCACCATCTGACGACCATCCACCGTCCCTCACCACCGCGACAAACCACGACCGCCCACATCAACGACGACAACACACCAATGACGCCAATGATGGACAACATCGTCACGGACCACCCGCGACCATTGACGAGCACCGAGGATGTGAAGACGACGTGGCAGATGTGCCACATCGTCCGGACAGTGACGACGCATGCCGTCGTCACTGTCCAACCTGATCAGGTCAGTGCACCCCCCCCTCTCTCTTTCTGTATGGCCAGCTCACACCAGCTCCAGGGGCCACGTCGCTGTCTGCGATGTGGCAATAATTCGACGACGCAACACAAAAACACACCGAGGACGGTGCCACGTCACGCCGCAACCACGAATGCCCACCAATGTCAATGCCCGCCCACAACACAACAACGACCAAATCTGCCCACCCACGAACAACGCCCACCGCCCCACACGACCCCACCGCCCACGAACACCCGCCCACGACAACGACTGCCCACGAGCGCCCACGACGCGACAACGAACGCCCACGAATGCCCATGCACGACAACGAACACCCACCAGCGCAACGCAAACGCCAATGCAAACATGAACGAAACGGCAACCCACCCCCACGGACGCCAATACAGCCCACCACCCACGACCAACGACGACGCACGCCCACACATGGAGGATTCTGTTCACGTCAACGGAAATGGGCAACGACGAGCCCAGGTGAGCTCCCCCTCTCTCCATCATTCCTCACCACCACCCTTCCATCATCCCCCCTCCCTCCCTCTGTTGCTCCCCCTCCCATTTCTCCCCCTCCCTCCATTGCTCCCCCCTCCATCCATTCCCACCTCACCCTTCACCACTCCCTCCCTTCACCACTCCCTCCCTTCACCACTCCCTCCCTTCACCACTCCCTCTCTCCTCCATCACTCCTTCCCCCTCCCTCCCCCCTCACTCTCTACTACATCCTCCCCCCTCCATCACTTCCCCCTGTCTTCCCCCCCTCCCTTAAATATTGAGAATAGTAAAAATAAATTGTGTAGTCTATTTAATACATTTCAATTTTTCCTGCTCAACTTAGAATTATTTCATAAAGTCATTCCATGTGAATTCCATGTGGAATCCATATGGAGTCCATATGGATTCCACCCTTAAAATGGTATAGAACATATAGAATAGAGTATGGATTCCATCTGAAAAAAGTATGGATTCCATGTGGAAAAAGTATGGAATCCATCTGGAATTTGTGCAGTCCACCCCCCATTCCATCCATTCCATATGGAATAACCCGGGGAGGGTAAAGTACTGCATCACCAAGGTGATTTCTCATGTACCTAGTACCTTGTAGTATATTCTCGTAGATATGTTCTGTAGTATATAAGGGTGAAGAAATTCCCCACTATAATCATTATTATTCTTTGAACTTACCACTGCACTATATATACTCTCAACAGGTTATGGGCCCCGGCCTATAAAACTTATACACATATTCATTACACATGCATACACTCCACATGCACATGCATACACACACATATGCACAAACTTTATCTCATACGCTTATCTACATTACATAACCTACTACAATGTTGGAAGAATACACAGCGGGATCTTACCAGATGGAAATGCTGAAGGCCACAAATTGGATGCCATTGAAGCGACAGATGATGGCCATGCTTCGTGACCTTGGACTGGAGAAGTATATTGCAAAGGATGCAAAACCTCCAGGATCAGCTGATCCCCAAAGCCTGACAACGGAAGAATTAGCAGCGACAAAGAAATGGGCCAAAGGTGACGCCAAAGCGCAGACAAGAATAAAACTCGCTATCAGCGACGTGGAAATGATCCACATCAGTGGCGCAACGACAGCGCAGGAAATGTGGGATCAACTCACCATGGTCAAGGAATCCAAGGGCAGGCTAGGGGTGCTTGCAACACGTCGCATGCTACACAGAATGAGCGCAGATGAGGGAATTGATCTGGTGGAACATATATTGAAGCTAAGAAAGCTTCAGGAAGAATTGCACCTAATGGAAAACATGGTATCAGATGAAGATTTTGTCATGATCTTGATCACATCACTCCCTGAAAGTTGGGATAATTATACTTCATCGTACCTAGGTGCATCTGGAAATAAACTGACCCTGAAATCACACAAGCTTATTGCAATTTTGATTGAAGAATACCACTGTCGTCAAGGATGAAATGAAGAGACATCTGGAGGATTATCTATGCAAGCTAGGCATCAGCAAAAGGGCGGAAGAAATACAAGCTCACAGGGAAAGAAGAAAACAGATGTGGAGTGTTACAACTGCCACAAGACAGGCCACATATCAAATGAATGTTGGGCCAAAGGAGGAGGTCATGAGGGACAAGGTCCAAAGGGCCGTCAAGGGCCAAATAGAGGAGACAGATCCCATCAAACACAAGATTCTGTGAACAACTCATTGGGTGATTGTGCATACATGGTTAATCAAAATATCCACGAATTTTCGAAATATGACTGGGTACTTGACTCAGCCACAACCTCACACATTTGCACAACCTGAGACACATTTGTTGATTATGAACTGTTGAAATCTGAAGTAGACGGCATGGGCGGATTGGTGATGACACAGGGACGAGGAACAGTGGCAGTCAACTTTAAATTTGATGGCCAATCAATGAAGCACATTTTGCGGAATGTATTACATGTCCCGAATTGCCTACTTTCAATTCCTTGCTTAGCAATTGGAGGAGGAAGGGTAGAATTTAAAGGCAATGGATGCCAACTATATGACAAAACTAATAGGGTCATTGGAAAGGGAAAGTTGACGAACATGTTATATTTGCTTGATGCATGCGCGGAATTGCCAAATCAGGAAAGCACCCAATACACATCAATTCGGACACACTCTTGGGATCAATGGCATTGACTTTATGGCCACATCTCTATCAATGCAATTAAAAGCCTGAAATCAAATGAAATGGTGGATGGGCTCAAGATTGATGAGTCTACAATCCCATCATTAACTTGTGAAGCTTGTATTCAAGCAAAACAAGCACACAAACCTTTTCCACAAGAAGCAAAAAATCGTTCCGAGATACCTGGTGAACATATCATGAGTGATGTATGGGGACCAGCACAAACAGAGTCAATCGGACGGTGGAAATATTATGTTTCATTTACAGATGACGGCACACATTTGACCGCCGTACTATTCCTAAAAAACAAGGGACAAGCATTTGACTGCATTAAGGAATATGTTGCTGTTATTGAACGGAAATTTGGAAAACCCCCAAGATTTATGCGATTTGATAATGGGAAGGAACTGGTTAATAAGAAACTTCGAAATTGGGCTGCAGAAAAAGGAATTACTATTGAAGCATCTGCCCCATATTCACCTTCTCAAAATGGAGTTGCAGAAAGGTTTAATTGCACACTTTTGGAACTTGCATGGGCAATGTTAATTGCGAAAAACCTTCCAGTATTTTTATGGGACAAAGCGGTCACGCACATGGCATATTTACGAAACCGCGCACCCACACGTGCTTTAAACGGCAAAACACCATACGAAGCTTGGACAAATAATAAACCTGACATTTCGCACCTCAGGGAATTCGGATGCGACGTTTGGGTGCTAGACGAGACCAAAGGTCGTTCTAAGCTCGCACCAAAATCAAACAAATTAATTTTTGTAGGATTTCACGATGGATCGAAGTCAGTCCGTTATTACGACGCTAAAACTCGGACAATCAAAGTCTCACGTAACGTGGCATTTAACGAAAATGAAGAGCCACGTGAACTCGAAATCAATGTCAATTTACCGGGTTTGCGTGTCGAGGGGGAGCCAGAGGAAAAATCGAACACTCAAACACCTCAAGAAATCGAAAATCCATTAAATCCTATCTCTACAACAGTTCCTACACAAGAAATGTGAAGTCCTATTGAACCCATAAATTCTCCAACTCTTAGACCTCGAAGAATTCGCACTGAATACGATTATCAACTCCTAAATAATCCACAGGCACGACCAACGGATCGCACACTTGAAAATGCAACACCACCTGATATTACACGACACACAGAGTCATCAGCTGCGAAAATAATTTCTAAAAATCGCACTCGCCTTGCCTTCGATGATTTTATCGGAAATTCAACCGAAAAAACGTTTCAAGTGCTCTCAGGAATTTCTGATAAAGATGGACTGCCAGAAACACTTGAAGATGCGATGCAGACTGAGGAGAAAGAGCATTGGAAGACTGCTGTGGAAGCAGAATTAAATGTTTTAGAAAAAATGGGCACATGGAAAATGGAAGAGTTACCAGTTGGAAGGGAACCAATCAGATGCTGTTGGGTATTTGATAAAAAACGAGATGAGCATGGAAATGTTGTAAAATACAAGGCAAGACTTGTAGCGCAAGGTTTCTCGCAGAAACCAGGAACGGATTTTAGCCATAATGGCACGTTTGCACCTGTTATGCGCTTCGAGACGCTACGCACAATGCTCGCACTCGCCGCAATAAATAAATGGGATATGCATCAACTCGATGTGAAAGTGCATATTTAAATGGAAAACTCACAGAGGAAATTTATATGAAGCAACCCCCAGGTTTTTCAGATGGCAGCGGACGCGTTTGTCAATTACAATGTGCGCTTTATGGATTAAAGCAGGCTGGACACACATGGAATCGAGAATTTAATGGTGTTATGGAAAATCTGGGATTTATGCAGCTAAAAACGGATTATTGCTGCTATATTCAGAGAGAGGGGGAGAAGTTTGCAATTTTATTGGTATGGGTAGATGATATACTCACACTCACCAATAATCCTGCAGAAAGCAATCGCTTCGAAGCAGAACTCAAATCAAAATATGATATTAAAGCATTGGGCCAACCTTCATTATTATTAGGCATGAAGGTGACTCACGACACTACAAACCATACTATTTCACTTTCGCAAACTCATTACATTGATAAACTTCTCAAGAAGTTTAATCTCGAAAACCTAAACCCAGTTACCACACCGCTTGATCCGAATGTAGATCTAAATCAAGATGATGAGCCATCCGATGATGACATCACTCACAACACACGAAGGTCAGGGATGTATGCAACAATGATTGGATCTCTGATGTACGCCGCATTGGGAACATGCCCAGATATTGCGTACGCAACAAATAGACTTGCACAGTTTATGAGCCGACCCCAACCAAAGCATTGGACAGCCTTTAAAAGAATATTTCGTTATTTGAAAGGCACAAGAAGTTATATGCTCATGTATGGAGGGCAAAACTCTAATGCAGACGCGAATATTTATTGTGACACTGATTGGGCTTCACACACTGACAGAAAATCAATCAGTAGATATATTGTAATCATAGCAGGAGGAGCTGTGGCTTGGAGCTCAAAAAAGCAAAATACCATTGCTCTTTCAACTGCTGAAGCAGAATATGTTTCTGCTACTCACACTGCCAAACAAGTACTTTGGCACAGGTCTTTATTCAATGAACTCGAAATTCTGCAGCCGAAAACTTCTACAGTTTTCACAGATAATCAGACTGCAATTTCAATTGGTCATAATCCAGAATTTCACACTCACACGAAGCACATCAACATAGCGCTTCATTTTTTGTAAGATCACATTGAAAAAGGAACACTTAATATGGTCTACATAACAACCCACAACAACCTTGCAGATCTGTTCACTAAAGGACTACCTAGGGTTGTACATCAAGACCTAACTTATGAAATAGGTGTAATACCTGACCAAGGGGGAGTGTTGGAATAATACCCTAGTATACAGTGTTTAAAGGTTCAGTTCAGTCCGGTTTTTTGCCCCGAAAATGCGCAACCGTGGACCGCAACCGGTCCAGGACCGACCCAGATATTGAGGGAACCAAACCGAACCACCTAGGACCGGTCTTTTGTGGTCCATGATACTGGTTCAGACTGATCCAGACCGGTTTTTTTGTGTATAATTTATTATATCAATATAAACCATTTGTATCTCAACCATTATTACTCTGAAAAATAAACAGGTTATATAAAATAGTAAAGCATATAAATACCCATCATTCTACCAATTTTCAAGAGATTTAATGAAGATTTGACATAGCTATGACTGAAACTGAATTACATCTCCTAGAGACTCAGGTAAAATATGGATTTGGTTATATCTTTCTCAATTCTTAACCATTTTTGATGAAACAAAAACCCAATAAAAGGCAATAAATGTGGTTACAAGGCTATGTAACGCACGTGACCGTTTAACCGGTTGCAACTGATTAAAACCGGTCTTTGAACGGTTTTAAAAGATTTTCGAAATGAGGCAACCGGCAACTGGACCAACCCCAAATTGGGGCAACTGCAACCGAAAAAAAGACCGGACCATGGTCCGGTTCTGTTCTGTCCACCGGTTTTTTGCGGTCCTATGGACTGAACCTTTAAACACTACTAGTATATGGTCAGCTATTTCACGGACTTTGTAGATAAATTGAGAATACTTAATTACTAAGCCCGAGGACATCACCGAGGTGATTTCTCACATACCTAGTACCTTGTAGTATATTCTCGTAGATATGTTCTGTAGTATATAAGGGTGAAGAAATTCCCCACTATAATCATTATTATTCTTTGAACTTACCACTGCACTATATATACTCTCAACACCAACTACTGCCTTGTATGAGTCACTCCATTGCCAGACGTTCACAGATATATCAGCACCACACCTAAATATGGTGTTGCACAATCCTTGGTAAGTGTGATGACCAGTGACATGCCGTGACATAGCGTCACAGGGCCAATTTCTTGAGACATGGACTTTGTACCTTCCACAACACCAATCCAATATATTTTTTGCAGTGGGTTTGAGGGAATGATGTGATTGAATCCACTGAGAGAGTTTTCCATGTAGAAATTGTATTTATTGCTCCAAAAATGCGAAATCAGCTTGTTTTCCCTGCCAAATTTGGCACTCTGGAGAGATTGGACTATAACTTTCCAACCACAACATGTATGAACATGGTTTGTAGGAGGATATTACTTAGAATTTGAATTCCAATCGATCTACGGATCTAGAATTTTTATTTGTGGCCCCTATGTCGAGATCACCCCTAAGAATGAGCACTTTAACATAGTTATGGGGTAGTAATTAAAATTATGGACCCGTAGGATTGAAGCCACATACTAATCGGTTATTTAGTCTCTGCAAATCTAAGCCAAAATCCTATCCATTGTAACGCTGATAGCTCAAGTAGGCAACATTGGGCTAATAGGTGTTGTATAGCCACCAAAATCAGACACATTGTAGATTTTTATACAATTGAATAGAGACTATCTATACAATTCTGGCACATTTTTTTCTTGTAAATCGGTGGAGATTTGACTGAGCTACATCATTTACAACTTTGAGCTTGTCGAAGAAGCATCACCAGTCTGCCAAA